ACAAGTATATCTGCGGGTAGATTATACTCATTATCACAGAGAAACATTTATCAAGACAGTGTTATCACCAGTATATATATGTTAGAGTGTAATTATTCGGGTCAAATCTGTTTCTATCAGCTCCTTAATTGTCATTGTGTTACAATAACATATTGTGCAAATATTAAACATATCAATATCTGTGAAAGCACGATTGTAATTGATATCGAACAGTCAGTTTCAAATACTGTAATAACTTTTTTGACCGTGCGTATTATTTTCTTTTATCTTTCTTAAATCACTTTGTCATTTTGAAATTAAGTTGACATTCTACTTTGATCTGCTATCAAACTTGAATCCAATCTTGCTATAAACCATGGAGGTTTATCCGCTCAAATTTTAAATATAACAGATTTAATAGCCATATAATTTTGTACGAAGTAGTTACATATTATTTATGGGTTTCATTCCAGTTGAAATACTTTTGTCCAAACTGTTGACATCGGGAACATTTCATGGACATTTCATTGAAAGTATGGTTACATGTATATCTGCCGTTGCGTACTGAGCTGATATTTTGTATATATTTGTATTGTATGATATTTGCAAATTACACATGTCTTTTTTTTTTTTTTTTTTTACAATAGTTTTTTTTCTGGTTACATTTTTTTACCCGACTACGGTCACTCGATCTACCCGATGTAAAATTCTTTAGTTTTCTTTGTAAGTCATTCTATGATTTGATAAATTTCAACAATCGAGTTCCTACAATCAAAGCAAATTCGGTGCTGTGATCCAGCCGGGTTTTTTTTTAGCTAGTCGGACCAACAAACGCTTGGGGAATGGATCCCCCATTTTTTTAATATGTTTTTCATAATTATTTATTTTGTTGTTGTAAATATTTTTATTTCGAAAAGTGACTTTTCGTGTATGGAATCACCAATTAAAACGATGCAACAAACTTTCGTATAATTACAACGGAAGACAAAAAATCAACTTCTTTTCCTCCACAATCTTAGATGAAGATCGCAAAGTACTAACAACTTGTGACCACTGAAGGTTAAAGATTGCATTCATTTTGTAGTGGAAACTTATATTGAAACATTGCATTCCATTTATCATTGAAAGACAATACTATGACTGGCAGATATCCGTTATTAATGCAACCATGAAATTATTGATATTTTCAAACAAAAATGGATTCATCCTTCATGGGGTATCCTTGTACTATGGACACATTCTTGTTTTGAAATGTTCGTGGATATGGTTTATTGAATGTTGTGTTCAATGGACTTTTTTTTTTGTTGTTGTTTTTTTTTTATCTCGAAAGCACTAATAAAGTCTGGAATATTAATAAGTCAGGGCTATAAGGGTTTTCATTGCATGAATCCAAAATATAAGTTAATTTCAGTATGAACAGACAATTAAGCTGGTTCTCGCCTGACTACTACATTCTGTTAAGTGTAGCGTAATTACAAGCGGACTCCAGTTCAACAAACAAACTTCTTAAAATTATAATTTTAGAGTTAAAATCATGATTCAGGAAATAACGTTCTTGAAATAAATACCACTCAAAAGAAATTGGGCAAAGCTTCCTCTGATCCGGGATAACCTGTTATGGCCAATAATATTGGTAAAAATAAAACAATTAACATTCCAGAAAGCCAACTTTTTCAAAAGTATTTTTATGCCCCACCTACGATAGTAGAGGGGCATTATTTTTTTCGGTCTCTGCGTCCGTTCGTTCGTCCGTCTGTCCCGCTTCAGGTTAAAGTTTTTGGTCAAGGTAGTTTTTGATGAAGTTGAAGTCTTATCAACTTGAAACTTAGTACACATGTTCCCTATGCTATGATCTTTCTAATATTAATGCCAAATTAGTTTTGAGCCTAATTTCACGGTCCACTGAACATAGAAAATGATAGTGCGAGTGGGGCATCCGTGTACTATGGACACATTCTTGTTTTTTAGTAAGTTAACTTTAGTATGTTGTTGATCTGTACAGGTAACTAACAACTACTGAATTTTCTGAACATATACTGAACAGATCTTAATATTGACTGCAAGCGAATTGTCTGAACAGTACTGAATTTACCACAGTGGATAAGTCTGAAAATTGACTGAAAAACTGAAAAATGGCTACAATAAGTTATTGTTTAGTCTTTTTAGAGCTGTTCAGATCAAAATGACCTTTTCAGACTAAAATTCGATTGCTAGTGCATACATGTTTAACTACCTCAATAAATTGCTTCGCCGAGTGCAGCTGGATACGACCGCAGAGGGGTAAAAATGGACACAATATTCGCGCTTGATACAGGTCTGAATTTGGATTGTAATTAAATATTTGACACATCATAGGTTTCTGACACAGAATAACTGTAGTCAAAGAACTTAGAATTGGTTATATGATTTGAATTTATATTCAATTCTTTTCTTTTGTGCAATACACTATGCTGTTGCGAATTGAAGAAATTTTCTTTTTAATTTCTGAAATCTGAAATGAGAAAAAATTGCCCCCCCCCCCACAATTTCTTTTTTACCCCCCTCCCCCCCCCCACCCTCCCCAATTTTTTTTCACCTACCCCCCCCCCCCCCCCTTTTTAAAAAAAAAATTCTTTCCCTCCAGATATGGTCATAATCTCAATTCAAATTTCCAATGGAGTTTGCAACCATAATTACCCATTTAAAAACATCATAAAAGTCTTAAAATAGAAAATGACATACATAATCATGGCTAACATTTTTAATAGTAACTTCTAAAAATAAATTGACAGCTAATCACCTCAAGACAATACAACATTTCTTTATACATAATTTAAAAGAAGTGTAAGGGAGGTAATCCAAACATAACATTGTACTTTTAAGTAATTGTCCTTTTACCAGGAATCCCTTGTTTTTCCCCCTTTTTCCTAAACGGTTTGAGCCATAACCCCACAAAGCCAATCCTAACCATCCCTTTGTGGTATGGAAACTTGTGGTCTAATTTCAGAGAGATCCATACACCTTTCCACAATTTATTGTCTGGAAACTAGAAAAATGCTTATTTAAGCCCCCTTTTGGCCCCTAATTCCTAAACTGTTAGGGAGCTACCATTTGATTTTTATGGGGGGGCTAGGATGAAAAATTTGGTCCTGCATTTTTTTTTAGTTGTAATCTCTGTCCTGCCTTTTTATTTTCCACTCTATTTGGTCGTACCTTTTTTTTTTTATTAATTTATCCTGACTTTTTTTACATAAATTGTCATCCTGACTTTTTTTTTGGCAAGTTGCTCATCCTGCCTTTTTTTTTACTCAAAACTCCTGTCCTGCCTTTTTTTCAAATTTCATCCTAGCCCCCCCGGAAACCAAATGTCTTCGGACGTCAATGACGACTACCTGATACCAATATACGACCGCAAAAATTTTGCGGTCGTATAAAAACGATGGGGAGGTTTCTTTGTGGACCTGTTTTACTTTCTTCAAATGATTTGTGTATACTTTTTTTTGTAGATAGCTAAGACACTAGTACACTATGGATTAATAATAAACAAACTTTACAGAACACAACATTTTTCTTAAATAAACCTTAATAATGTACACTAATGACCAAAACCTTAACCAGATAATTACGGAAAAAACAGCCAAAAGCATCTGTCATTATTGATTGAGAGAGTTGCAATATAAGTTTTAGTACAATTAAATAATTTACAAACTGAAAATAAATCATAAGTATATATCCTTTTAATCATGCCAGTAAATAAGCACTAAATAAAAGGTGGATTGGTCGATTGCATCCTCAGGCACTGAAAGTCCATACGCAACACCATTGACCAATGCTTGTACAAATGTTAAAAGCATACACACATGAAATTAACTTGTCACTTGTTTCTAGAATAACCTTCATTATTTATGCATGAGACCAAAACTTGGGAAAGTCAAACACAAAAGCATGCAAATAAAAAAACCAAACAGACTAAATGTAAAGTATATTTTTTAGTCTTTAATGAATTATTAATGAATACATTTTGGGGTTTTGTTTTGTTTCCATTGGTTTCTGTCTTATTGAATGATGTATAGAACCACATCTCTTTTTATTCAAATATATGAGCCAAAAGTTTACTATCTTTCAATGGGAGTTGAAGACCTCAAAATCTTGCACAAGGTCATGTTTTTCTCCAACTGTTAATAACGTCTTTACACTAAATCCATTGGATGTGGCGATGTGTACTGATTGATATTTTAGTCTTAGATACATGATTTTTTTTTTATTAGTTGTGAATGGCTTTGAACTAGCTGTCAGTAACTGCGAGTACTCTCAGATCTGTACTTAGTCTCAATTTTGTTGTTAGGGATGAGGGATGGATAAATACCCTGCAACGTCCGGTCTGTGTTTTTGTTTGACATTTTCTGCTTTGTATTGATCTGATGAGTTAAGCTTTTATCAACTGATTTTTATAGTTTGTTCTTATGTTGTGCTGTTACACCACTGTCCCAGGTTAGAGGAGGGTTGAGCGCTCACAAACATGTTTAACCCCGCCACATTCTTTATGTGCCTGTCCCAAGTCAGGAGCCTGTAAATCAGTGGTTGTTGTTGGTTCATATCTGTCATATTTGTTTTTCATAAATTGTTTTGTTATAAATTAGGCCGTTAGTTTTCTCAATTGAATTGTTTCATATTTTACACGTAGGGGCCTTTTATAGCCGACTATACTATATGGGTTTTTCTCATTGTTGAAGGCCATACGGTTGCCTATAATTGCTTACATCCACATCATTTGAACTTTGGTGGATAGTTGTCTCATTGGCAATCATACCACATCTCCTTATTTTTATGTCAGCTAATAAAATACTCTTCATTACAATCCAAATCATTCACAGTGTCCATGAGAGATGACGAATGAAATTTGTTTCTTTAAAAATTTAACCATTTTCATAAACCATATGTCATAGCATATTATTGCAGTAGGCAGCTATGAATGCGGCTAAAGAAATAAGATATTTCTCTCAATTGCATTAAAGTCATTTAAATAACTTCTTGAAGATATATCAAATCAACATTATATCATAAATTCATAATAAATCATCATTTTAGATATTGGTTAGGAGATTTTCCCAACAATCATTTCTGTACTAATCCTAGGTTAAATCAGGGTATCTAGAGTAAAACAAATGTAATGCAAACTACATGTGTTATGTAACAAAGCACTGCAAGTCAAGACAGACCATTAGACAATGGCTTTATTCATTCTCTGCTATGATGAGACCATATATATATCATAACTATGAATTGTTAGGATCATATTGTTGAGGTAGTTTCAGTCCTACAATGTTAGCACTAGCTTCAATACTTCTTTCTCCTTTTCCTCCATACATTTCTGTTAATTCCTGAAATGAAAAAAAAAGTTTACATTTGGGAAAGTATTTAAATACATATTTGTTTACCTACATTTACATACTTCTGAGTATAAAAATAAGAAGTGTGGCGTGATTGCCAATGAGACAACTATCCATTACAGAAATAAAATGCTCCGCTGGGCGCAGCTTGATACGACCGCAGAGGTCTAACCCTGAACAGTTGGGGCAAGTATGGACACAACATTCAAGCTTGATACAGCACTGAATTTGGATTGTGATTAAATATTTGACACAGCATAGGTTTCTGACACAGAATGAATGTGGTCTAAGAACTTAAAAAATTTGAATTTACCTATTGAAACCATATCATTATTATTTGCTTTTATATATAAATCAAAAATAACCAATTTAAAATGAAAAATTTTAAAGAAAAAAAAAGGAAAAAAAGGAAAGAAAAATCCCCCCCCCCCCCCCAATTTTTTGAACCCCCTTATGATTCATCACCCCCAAACTCAATCCCAGCCTTCCCTTCGTGGCATGGTATCTTGCAGTACAATTTCAGAGAGATCCATACACTTGAACACAAATTATTGTATGGAAACAAGAAAAACGCTTGTTTTTTGGCCCCAAATTCCTAAACGTTTAGGGCAATTACCCCCAAACTCAAACCCAGCTTTTCCTTTGTGATATGGAACCTTGTAGTGCAATTTCATAAAGATCCATACACTTACACACAAGTTATTGTCCTGAAACTAGAAAAATGCTTGTTTTTTTGCCCCTAATTCCTAAAATTTTGAGTCAATTACCCCCAAAGTCAATCCCAGCCTTCCCTTTGTGGTATGGTACCTTGCAGTACAATTTCAGACAGATCCATACACTTGAACACAAGTTATTGTCTGGAAACTAGAAAAATGCTTATTTTTGGCCCCTTATTCCTAAACCTTTTGGGCAATTACCCCCAAACTCAATTCCAGCTTTCCCTTTGTGATATGGAACCTTGTAGTACAATTTCAGAAAGATCCATACACTTACACACAAGTTATTGTCATGAAACTAGAAAAATGCTTGATTTTTGCCCCTTTTTTGGCCCCTAATTCCAAAAATTTTGAGGCAATTACCCCCAAACTCAAATCAAGCTTTGCCTTTGTGATATGGAACCTTGTAGTACAATTTCATAAAGATCCATACACTTACACACAAGTTATTGTCCTGAAACAAGAAAAATGCTTGTTTTTTGCCCCTTTTTGGCCCCTAATTCCTAAAATTTTGAGGCAATTACCCCAAAAATCAATCCCAGCCTTCCCTTTGTGGTATGGTACCTTGCAGTACAATTTCAGAGAGATCCATACACTTGAACACAAGTTATTGTCTGGAAACTAGAAAAATGCTTATTTTTTGCCCCTTTTTGGCCCCTTATTCCTAAACGTTTTAGGCAATTACCCCCAAACTCAATTCCAGCTTTCCCTTTGTGATATGGAACCTTGTGGTACAATTTCAGAAAGATCCATACACTTACACACAAGTTATTGTCATTTAACTAGAAAAATGCTTGTTTTCTGCCCCTTTTTTTGCCCCTAATTCCTAAAATTTTGAGGCAATTACCCCAAAAATCAATCCCAGCATTCCCTTTGTGGTATGGTACCTTGTGGTACAATTTCAGAGAGATCCATACACTTGAACACAAGTTATTGTCTGGAAACTAGACAAAATGCTTATTTTTGGCCCCTTATTCCTAAATGTTTTGGGCAATTACCCCCAAACTCAATTCCAGCTTTCCCTTTGTGATATGGAACCTTGTGGTACAATTTCATAAAGATCCATTCACTTACACACAAGTTATTGTCATTAAACTAGAAAAATGCTTGTTTTTTGCCCCTTTTTTTGCCCCTAATTCCTAAAATTTTGAGGCAATTACCCCCAAAATCAATCCCAGCCTTCCCTTTGTGGTATGGTACCTTGCAGTACAATTTCAGAGAGATCCATACACTTGAACACAAGTTATTGTCTGGAAATTAGAATAAACTGCTTCGCTGAGCGCAGCTGGATACGCCCGCAGAGGTCCAACCCTGAACAGTTGGGGCAAAAATGGACACAATATTCAAACTTGATACAGGTCTGAATTTGGATTGTAATTAAATATTTGACATATTACAGGTTTCTGAATAAATGTAGTCAAAGAACTTGAAATTGGTTATATGAATTGAATTTATATTCAATTAAAGATTTCTTGCTGTTGTGCAATACACTGTGCTGTTGCTCAATACTTAGTAAATCTGTTGTCAGACTATAAACAAATAAAGTTCAATTAATTCTCAATGTCATATTAGAAATTTATGAAAATCAAAAGGGAGCTTACATCAATAGATATAAACAATTCACCAAAGTTTCATGAGAATTGCTGACAGCATTTTTGAGTTATTGTCCGAAAACTGGGAAATCCTCCTTTTTTAATGAATAAAACCCCATAACTCAGAAATGTAAAATTTATAAAATTCTAAAGGGAGCTTACATCAATAGATATAAACAATTCACCAAAGTTTCATAAGAACTGCTGAAAGCATTTTTGAGTATTTGTCCGAAAACTGGAAAATCCCCCTTTTTTTAATAAAACCCTGTAACTTGGAAACTTAAAATCTAAAATTTATAAAAATCGACGGGGAGCTCATGTCAATAGATATAAACAATTCACCACAATTTCTTGCAAGTTGGTGAAAGCATTCTTGAGTTATTGTCCGAAAACTGGAAAATTCCCCCTTTTTTAATGAATAAAACCCCATAACTCAGAAATGTAAAATGTATAATGTAAAATTTATAAAATTCTAAAGGGAGCTTACATCAATAGATATAAACAATTCACCAAAGTTCCATAAGAACTGCTGAAAGCATTTTTGAGTTTTTGTCCGAAAACTGGAAAATCCCCCTTTTTTTTTTAATAAAACCCTGTAACTCGGAAACGTAAAATCTAAAATTTATAAAAATCAACGGGGAGCTCATGTCAATAGATATAAACAATTCACCACAATATCTTGCAAGTTGGTGAAAGCATTCTTGAGTTATTGTCCGAAATATGGAAAATACCCCTTTTTTTAATGAATAAAACCCCATAACTCGGAAACATAAACTCTAAAATTTATAAAAAACGAAAGGGAGCTCACGTCAATAGATATAAACAATTCACCAAAGTTTTATGCAAATTGGTTAAAGCGTTTTTGAGTTAATGTCCGACATGTTGACAACGGACGGACAGACGGACGGACGGACAGACGGACAACGGTATACCATAATACGTCCCGTAAACGGGCGTATAAAAATGCTTATTTTTTGCCCCTTTTTGGCCCCTTATTCCTAAACGTTTTAGGCAATTACCCCCAAACTCAATTCCAGCTTTCTCTTTGTGATATGGAACCTTGTGGTACAATTTCAGGAAGATCCATACACTTACACACAAGTTATTGTCATTAAACTAGAAAAATGCTTGTTTTTTGCCCCTTTTTTTGCCCCTAATTCCTAAAATTTTGAGGCAATTACCCCAAAAATCAATCCCAGCATTCCCTTTGTGGTATGGTACCTTGCAGTACAATTTCAGAGAGATCCATACACTTGAACACAAGTTATTGTCTGGAAACTAGACAAAATGCTTATTTTTGGCCCCTTATTCCTAAACGTTTTGGGCAATTACCCCCAAACTCAATTCCAGCTTTCCCTTTGTGATATGGAACCTTGTGGTACAATTTCATAAAGATCCATTCACTTACACACAAGTTATTGTCATTAAACTAGAAAAATGCTTGTTTTTTGCCCCTTTTTTTGCCCCTAATTCCTAAAATTTTGAGGCAATTACCCCCAAAATCAATCCCAGCATTCCCTTTGTGATATGGAACCTTGAGGTACAATTTTATAAAGATCCATACACTTACACACAAGTTATTGTCCTGAAACAAGAAAAATGCTTGTTTTTTGCCCCTTTTTGGCCCCTAATTCCAAAAATTTTGAGGCAATTACCCCAAAAATCAATCCCAGCCTTCCCTTTGTGGTATGATACCTTGCAGTACAATTTCAGAGAGATCCATACACTTGAACACAAGTTATTGTCTGGAAACTAGAAAAATGCTTATTTTTGTCCCCTTTTTTGCCCCTTAATAATAAACGTTTTGGGCAATTACCCCCAAACTCAATTCCAGCTTTCCCTTTGTGATATGGAACCTTGTAGTACAATTTCAGAAAGATCCATACACTTACACACAAGTTATTGTCATTAAACTAGAAAAATGCCTGTTTTTTGCCCCTTTTTTGGCCCCTAATTCCTAAAATTTTGAGGCAATTACCCCCAAAATCAATCCCAGCATTCCCTTTGTGATATGGAACCTTGTGGTACAATTTCATAAAGATCCATACACTTACACACAAGTTATTGTCCTGAAACTAGAAAAATGCTTATTTTTGGCCCCTTATTCCTAAACCTTTTGGGCAATTACCCCCAAAGTCAATCCCAGCCTTCCCTTTGTGGTATGGTACCTTGCAGTACAATTTCAGAGAGACCCATACACTTGAACACAAGTTATTGTCTGGAAACTAGAAAAATGCTTATTTTTGGCCCCTTATTCCTAAACCTTTTGGGCAATTACCCCCAAACTCAATTCCAGCTTTCCCTTTGTGATATGGAACCTTGTAGTACAATTTCAGAAAGATCCATACACTTACACACAAGGTATTGTCATGAAACTAGAAAAATGCTTGATTTTTGCCCCTTTTTTGGCCCCTAATTCTAAAAATTTTGAGGCAATTACCCCCAAACTCAATTCAAGCTTTGCCTTTGTGATATGGAACCTTGTAGTACAATTTCATAAAGATCCATACACTTACACACAAGTTATTGTCCTGAAACAAGAAAAATGCTTGTTTTTTGCCCCTTTTTGGCCCCTAATTCCTAAAATTTTGAGGCAATTACCCCAAAAATCAATCCCAGCCTTCCCTTTGTGGTATGGTACCTTGCAGTACAATTTCAGAGAGATCCATACACTTGAACACAAGTTATTGTCTGGAAACTAGAAAAATGCTTATTTTTGTCCCCTTTTTGGCCCCTTTATAATAAATGTTTTGGGCAATTACCCCCAAACTCAATTCCAGCTTTCCCTTTGTGATATGGAACCTTGTAGTACAATTTCAGAAAGATCCATACACTTACACACAAGTTATTGTCATTAAACTAGAAACATGCTTTTTTTCCCCCTTTTTTGGCCCCTAATTCCTAAAATTTTAAGGCAATTACCCCCAAAATCAATCCCAGCATTCCCTTTGTGATATGGAACCTTGAGGTACAATTTCATAAAGATCCATACACTTACACACAAGTTATTGTCCTGAAACTAGAAAAATGCTTGTTTTTTGCCCCTTTTTGGTCCCTAATTCCTAAAATTTTGAGGCAATTACCCCCAAATTTAATCCCAGCCTTCCCTTTGTGGTATGGTACCTTGCAGTACAATTTCAGAGAGACCCATACACTTGAACACAAGTTATTGTCTGGAAACTAGAAAAATGCTTATTTTTGGCCCCTTATTCCTAAACCTTTTGGGCAATTACCCCCAAACTCAATTCCAGCTTTCCCTTTGTGATATGGAACCTTGTAGTACAATTTCAGAAAGATCCATACACTTACACATAAGGTATTGTCATGAAACTAGAAAAATGCTTGATTTTTGCCCCTTTTTTGGCCCCTAATTCCTAAAATTTTGAGGCAATTACCCCCAAACTCAATTCAAGCTTTCCCTTTGTGATATGGAACCTTGTAGTACAATTTCATAAAGATCCATACACTTACACACAAGTTATTGTCCTGAAACTAGAAAAATGCTTGTTTTTTTGCCCCTTTTTGGCCCCTAATTCCTAAAATTTTGAGGCAATTACCCCAAAAATCAATCCCAGCCTTCCCTTTGTGGTATGGTACCTTGCAGTACAATTTCAGAGAGATCCATACACTTGAATACAAGTTATTGTCTGGAAACTAGAAAAATGCTTATTTTTGGCCCCTTTTTGGCCCCTTATTCCTAAACGTTTTAGGCAATTACCCCCTAACTCAATTCCAGCTTTCCCTTTGTGATATGGAACCTTCTGGTACAATTTCAGAAAGATCCATACACTTACACACAAGTTATTGTCATTAAACTAGAAAAATGCTTGTTTTTTGCCCCTTTTTTGGCCCCTAATTCCTAAAATTTTGAGGCAATTACCCCAAAAATCAATCCCAGCATTCCCTTTGTGGTATGGTACCTTGCAGTACAATTTCAGAGAGATCCATAAACTTGAACACAAGTTATTGTCTGGAAACTAGACAAAATGCTTATTTTTGGCCCCTTTTTCCTAAACGTTTTGTGCAATTACCCCCAAACTCAATTCCAGCTTTCCCTTTGTGATATGGAACCTTGTGGTACAATTTCAGAAAGATCCATACACTTACACACAAGTTATAGTCATTAAACTAGAAAAATGCTTGTTTTTTGCCCCTTTTTTGGCCCCTAATTCCTAAAATTTTAAGGCAATTACCCCCAAAATCAATCCCAGCATTCCCTTTGTGATATGGAACCTTGTGGTACAATTTCATAAAGATCCATACACTTACACACAAGTTATTGTCCTGAAACTAGAAAAATGCTTGTCTTTTGCCCCTTTTTGGCCCCTAATTCCTAAAATTTTGAGGCAATTACCCCCAAAGTCAATCCCAGCCTTCCCTTTGTGGTATGGTACCTTGCAGTACAATTTCAGAGAGACCCATACACTTGAACACAAGTTATTGTCTGGAAACTAGAAAAATGCTTATTTTTGGCCCCTTATTCCTAAACCTTTTGGGCAATTACCCCAAACTCAATTCCAGCTTTCCCTTTGTGATATGGAACCTTGTAGTACAATTTCAGAAAGATCCATACACTTACACACAAGGTATTGTCATGAAACTAGAAAAATGCTTGTTTTTTGCCCCTTTTTTGGCCCCTAATTCTAAAAATTTTGAGGCAATTACCCCCAAACTCAATTCAAGCTTTGCCTTTGTGATATGGAACCTTGTAGTACAATTTCATAAAGATCCATACACTTACACACAAGTTATTGTCCTGAAACAAGAAAAATGCTTGTTTTTTTACCCTTTTTGGCCCCTAATTCCTAAAATTTTGAGGCAATGACCCCAAAAATCAATCCCAGCCTTCCCTTTGTGGTATGGTACCTTGCAGTACAATTTCAGAGAGATCCATACACTTGAACACAAGTTATTGTCTGGAAACTAGAAAAATGCTTATTTTTGTCCCCTTTTTGGCCCCTTTATAATAAATGTTTTGGGCAATTACCCCCAAACTCAATTCCAGCTTTCCCTTTGTGATATGGAACCTTGTAGTACAATTTCAGAAAGATCCATACACTTACACACAAGTTATTGTCATTAAACTAGAAAAATGCTCTTTTTTTTCCCCTTTTTTGGCCCCTAATTCCTAAAATTTTTTGAGGCAATTACCCCCAAAATCAATCCCAGCATTCCCTTTGTGATATGGAACCTTGAGGTACAATTTCATAAAGATCCATACACTTACACACAAGTTATTGTCCTGAAACTAGAAAAATGCTTGTTTTTTGCCCCTTTTTGGTCCCTAATTCCTAAAATTTTGAGGCAATTACCCCCAAAGTCAATCCCAGCCTTCCCTTTGTGGTATGGTACCTTGCAGTACAATTTCAGAGAGACCCATACACTTGAACACAAGTTATTGTCTGGAAACTAGAAAAATGCTTATTTTTGGCCCCTTATTCCTAAACCTTTTGGGCAATTACCCCCAAACTCAATTCCAGCTTTCCCTTTGTGATATGGAACCTTGTAGTACAATTTCAGAAAGATCCATACACTTACACACAAGGTATTGTCATGAAACTAGAAAAATGCTTGATTTTTGCCCCTTTTTTGGCCCCTAATTCCTAAAATTTTGAGGCAATTACCCCCAAACTCAATTCAAGCTTTCCCTTTGTGATATGGAACCTTGTAGTACAATTTCATAAAGATCCATACACTTACACACAAGTTATTGTCCTGAAACTAGAAAAATGCTTGTTTTTTTGCCCCTTTTTGGCCCCTAATTCCTAAAATTTTGAGGCAATTACCCCCAAAGTCAATCCCAGCCTTCCCTTTGTGGTATGGTACCTTGCAGTACAATTTCAGAGAGACCCATACACTTGAACACAAGTTATTGTCTGGAAACTAGAAAAATGCTTATTTTTGGCCCCTTATTCCTAAACCTTTTGGGCAATTACCCCCAAACTCAATTCCAGCTTTCCCTTTGTGATTTGGAACCTTGTAGTACAATTTCAGAAAGATCCATACACTTACACACAAGGTATTGTCATGAAACTAGAAAAATGCTCGATTTTTGCCCCTTTTTTGGCCCCTAATTCCTAAAATTTTGAGGCAATTACCCCCAAAATCATTCCCAGCATTCCCTTTGTGATATGGAACCTTGTGGTACAATGTCAGAGAGATCCATACACTAGCACACAAGTTTTGTCTGGAAGTTACAAAAATACTTATTTTTGGCCCCTAATTCCTTAACTGTTGGTACCATAACCCCCAAAATCAATACCGACCTTTCTTTAGTGGTATTGAACCTTATTGTAAAATTTCATAGAGATCCATACACTTAAACTAAAGTTAGAGTGCGAAAACCAATGTGTCTTCGGACGACGACGACTACGCCAACGTCATACCAATATACGTTTGCGGTCGTATAAAAACCAACAAAAAATAAGTATGACAGACAGCAACCAATGACAACCACTGTCTTGGGACAGGCACATAAAAAATGTGGAATGGATAAACATGTTTGTGAGCACTAACCACAAACCAGGACAGAGGTGTAACAGCAAATTGAGGCCCATTCATGGCTTCTTTGATGTTGTTACTTGTTATTTGTATAGACTGACTTTACGTTCTGGGGTACATCATTTCCAAGAGCTTTAATTGTTGGAGTGGTGTAATGTTATAGATAGATCAATATCAATTTCCCTTATACATCATTTGGTATCGTGTGGTGGGGTGCCTACTTGAAGTGTGAGTTCAGTCATCCACTGGGTGAAACCAAACAAAAATAACATTGGTATTTGCTGCTTCTCTACCAAGCACATAGCATTTAGGATTAAAAGCACAGACTGATAGGCTCAGAATTATAAAGAAAAATGTGTCTTTATAGGAAGTGTTTCCTTCCAGTCAACTGAAGCTGTTGCCTTGTGTACTAGAATACTAAAATTTCTATGCATACATGTATATTCATATATCAAAAAACATGTTATCATCCAGAATATGGTTGTAATATTTGACATTGGATGCTAAGCAGTCATTAAGTTTAACTTATTTTATTCGTTCATACATAAATATTGAACCTAATCTAAATTATAGACTGCCTCTGATTATTGATTGAATATATTATTACTCTTGATATAATCTATGTTTAACAATGTTTTTTTCATGTTTTTTATTACAGTTTTATTTTGTCTAATGTAAACAATATTCTTATTGTAAAGGGTTACTGTTGAAATACATTATCTAAAATATCATGAAGTAGATATACTTGCAAAAGTATTAGCACTTACATTTTTATTATTATGTGTCATCCTCAAAATTACTGAATGATGGATATATCTTCAATGAAGGTGGTCTGCAGTTTAACTTTAATGTAGGAATTTCAATCCTGAATGTGTTTTTATTAGATTTTTTTGATAGAAGTCACCACAACATTTTATGCATTTCTCATTATCATAAATGTCTGAATAATACATGCTGTCAAAGTCAGATTGATTTTAGGGTATAAACATATGACACTTAACAAAGACAAAGCAACTCTCTGTAATTCAGGAAAGATTCAAAAAGAAAGTCCAAGAAAAACACAGAATTCTCTTGCACGCATCTATATATAGTTGTGTACAACTGAACAATACATTATAAGGGCTTTGAAATCATGTGGATTTTTTATTAACATTAGATAATAAGCAGGGATAGCAAAGATAAATTATGAATATATCAATAATTATTCTGTAATTTTGGGAAAAAAAATGATCTTAATGACGTAAAATGATACATTTAACTGAACATTTGTGCCAATCAATTGTATTTCTATATCACAACATCTGTAAATATCTACAACAGTGGTTTCTAATCAAAGAAGACTGCCACAAATTTTATACTTTCATATTGCCTTAATATTCATATACATCATGTACATGTACATGTGTAATTATGTTAAACTACCTACATACATAACATTTAGTGTTTTAAAGCATACCTGATGCTTTCTAGTACTCTGAAGTAGACATAAATAAGTATCAGCTACATGTACTACATCATGTTTCCCCTGACAGTACTTTTCACTTGTTACTTTGTGATTTTTAAACTGTTCTAACATAAACTGGTATGTTGGACACTCTGTTACGTTCTGCTGAAATGACAAAAAATTATACTACAATTAAAACTAAAAAACATTTTATTGTCATTTTCTTACTTTTATTTAAATGCAAAACAAAACAAAAATAAAAAAAACTTGTGGGGAGTTCCACGAAAGCCTGTGTCTCGGCTGCGATTGCTGCTGTCAGCTGCAGTCTAAAAGTGTAATCATGGTAATGTTGACTTAAAAAGTGAGTCCATTTATCAGTAAAATACAGAATTTTAAAAAAAGAAAATTTTTCTTTAAATGCTATTTCATGGTCTTGAAGATAAGCATCTGTCCAAGTTTCATAACAAACCATGAAGGTTTACAATTTTATCAGGTCAAAAAAGTTTAATCCCAGACTGTCTGTAAATGTTAACTGTAAAAAACTAGGTCAATCTATCAGAATTTAAATACTGGAAATGGACAAAATATATTTTCAAAAGTTTGCTTCAGACATTATCTCTTAATCATAAAAAAGCTTCTGCCAAAGTTTCATAAAATACGGAAAAATGAAAAAAATTGTTTTCAAAATTTTGCTCTGGATACTTTATTTTGGTCATAAACAAGCTTCTGTCCAAATTTCCTAAAATTCCATGAAGGTTTGATAAAGTTATTGATGTCTAAAAAAACTTTAATCACAGACTGAACCTAAATGTTGACACCGCCGACAGAATCTAGGATCGCTATGTCTCGCTTTTGAGACATAAATGTTGCAGGCTCTACAAAAATGAGTATTCTTTTCTGGTTTTAGATATTGTGTTATTGATGAGCACAGGAAGTTGCATATTACTGAATCATAGAATCTGATTTAAAGATGTTGTATTTGCATATAAAATGAGCACACACTAAAATGATTTGCCAGCTTTACTGTTTATGAGAAAGTTTCATGTTGAAAGTCTTTAAGATCAGCTTTTACTACATGTACAAGTACTTAATAATGTCATCATGAGCAATATTAATTATCTATGAAAATTAAGGTCAAGGTGAACCCTATCACATGGAAATGTACACCTTAACTTGGGGAAGATCCTCATGAATGGGTATTTGAAATTTTTTACCCTTACTGCTTGCAGGTATTATTATAACAAGAGAGCACACGATGAAATGTCTCACCTGCTTTACTGATCATGATTGAATTTATGTTGAAAGTCTGTAATATGAAGGTTTTACTACAAGAATCACATACACTTAACATTATTAATAATCAATGAAAATGAGGTCAAGGTCAGATGAACCATGCCAGACAGACATGTACACCTTACTATCATTTCATACATACAGTGTTTTCCCTAGGCTATTCAAGCATTGCGGTACCGCTAGGCATAAATTTCGACCGCCATGCTTTCATCATTGCCGCAATGCATCCCGCTATTTGTGAAAATTATAACTGTGTAAAATATTTATTATCGATATTTTGAAAGTGAAGTGACAAGTGACAACACTCCACAGGTGTTTTAAACTCATCCGACTGATAATTGGATGCATCACGTCGCGCGTGCCAGGATTTTACAACCTTCTTGATTAGTTGGTTATATATCGAGACTTCGGTTACATGATAGAAGTTGCCAGTTAGCTGATAAATAAATAGTCAGATTAATCTTCAATGCATATCTTTCTGTACTTAATAAAAAAATTAACCTTTTCCAGTATAAATTTCACCTTTAAAACGGGTGTTTGACATCGTTATTTTACTGTGATCATTAAAAAGTAGAAATTTAAAATTTGGTATTGCCTCTGGTAATATAAAATAAAACTAACGTAATTTCACCGAGAATGGACAAAACTTTTGTTTTAATAAAGTTTGCAGTTTTTTTATCAGCTATATTTACATCGATGAATTATTTTTTGATTGGTCACAATAATCAGTTATTTTTAGATTAGTCGCGGTTGATTGATTATATCAAAGAATACACATCACTGCCACCGGGCCGAGCAAAAGACGTGTCTTACGAAAAACTTTCAAAACATACGTAGTTATTTATGGAAATATTGTTTTTAATAAACTTGTGTTGTTCTTTTTTTATTTCAATGGGTCACATGAAGCTTAAGTATAGCAGATTCATTTGCCGTTTTTTACACAAGTAGGGCTAAATTTCTTTCACTTCGGCAAGATAGGATTTTTACAATTATGAAGCGTTGTAAATAAATCGGACAGGGATGTATTTAAAAAAAATAGTTACAAATTGTCATGAAATAAAATGTCAGCTTAGCTTCCAAACAATGTCATTCGTATGTCCGTATGTCAGGTATTCTTCATTGACGACTTCTGTAATTAACGCAAATAAATTTTGTTTTATTGTTTCCTGTAAAATCTCTGTGAAGCAATGATGACATTCAAAGTTTTATTTAACAACTTGCTGTTGATGCTGAAATCAGCAAACTGAGGACACTGTTAGTGAAAGAATGTAAAGACATGACATTTAGGCAGACAATGAACAAAGTTGCCAGTCTCTTGTCTGTCCAGGTATGCAGCAATTGGTCTTCTTTTGCCAGTTTCAACAGCTGATTGTGAAAGGTGTTTTTCATGCTTAAACAGAGTTAAAACACCTTTGAGAAAAAGACTATGCCAAAAAGTGCTGAATTGCTTAATGCATATATCAATTGAAGGACCAAAGGAGGAAGATTTTGATTTTGAAAAATGTGTGGTGACCTTTGGAAAGTTGAAACAGAGGAAGATATCAACAAAATAATGTGTACATGGCATTAATTTGTAAATAACTATTGCAGACTGGATTATTTTTATTATTGTTTATAAGGTCTTTCATTAATTCCTCTCATTGTTTATAAGGTCTTTCATTAATTCCTCTCATCTATAATAAATACTTTAAAGTTCCATGACTTATATGAATTGCTGAACCTATAATAAAACAATTAGATTGGTATATGGCTTTAAACATATAAATTATGTAGTGTAACTAATTCTGGAAAAAGAAGCATCGCGATCCGCGTTGCAAATTCACCATGGAACCACCATTCATGAAAAATTTTCTAGGGAAGACACTGACATATAGTGACCCTATTGCTTATAGTACCTGAGAAATAGACTAAACTACTGCAAACTTAACATTGACCAATTAACCATGACAATGAGGTCAAGGTCATATGAAGCCTGCCAGACAGACATGTACACCCTACAGTCATTCTATACACAAAGCATAGTCATATATACATATTTCTCTAATTCTTAGGCAATTTAACCCTTTTCGGACCCATTGTATAAAAAAATGTAATCAACGTGTGGTTGCTGCTGATCTCAGATGATTGGATGAGTTTAAAGGTCATAACCTTTATCAGCTCACTGGATGAATCAAAATATGCTAACATGTTACAGGTGTTAATGAAATTGACAACTTTGTGAAATGTGGAAGGCACGTGCACTCAAAGGGGATTTTCGTTTAAAAAAAATGAAAATTTATTTGATAATCATTAGAGAAACAGATTCCTACGTAGTTACTCGTGGATTATCGGATTTCATCTCGATTGGATAAATCCTTTAAAATTGATAATTTAACTATCTCGATTGAATAAATCCTTTAAAATTGATAATTTAACTATCTCGATTGGATTAATCCGATAATCCACTGGTACCAATGTAAGATTTTATATATACAGTATCTGATAAACTGACAAAACCATGAAAACTTAGCATTGATCAATGAACAATGAAAATGATGTCAAGGTCAAATGAAACCTGCCAGACAGACATATACACCTTTCTATGACATTCAATACACCAAATATAATGCCACTATTGTTCATAGTATCTGAGAAACTGACTTAGCAACGAAATCTTAAAAGTTGACCAATGAATCATGAAAATGAGGTCAAGATTAATTGAACACTGTCAGACTAGAATGTACACCTTAAAATCATTCTATACACATGGGCTGGGACCAATATATATAATTTTGTATGTGTTAGATTATCATGATTATTACAGCATGCAAAATGATTAGATGCATACTATAAAAATTATCAATTGCAATAACACAAACGTTTAGCAAACCTTTGAATAAATATAACGTAGTTCTTTTAATAGACTGCGGAATAACTGAGCATTGGTAGAGGGACTTGTCATTTTTCATAAAGTCAACGTTAATTTGGCGCTTAGGTCAAAATAAATTTAGACACAAACGCTGATTCTCTGGGTTATACTAAAGACCTGAACGTGGACCTGAAAAGACCTGAATAGACCTGAAGAAATACTACTCGATTTATTCAAATTACAATTACTTTAGGATTTTCTTCAAGTTAGAATTTTATTAAAGGTACAGATCCACATGATATTAAAAATAAAATGTTTTAAATAAAAGACAAATTTTTGATGCCAAAACTCGGACCTGAATGAATTAATGAAAAGACCTGAACGGACCTGAAATTCTGCGATCAGACTTATTCAAACTTCAATAGCTGTTTTATTTTTTAATGGATTTCCTTCAATTTTAGATTTTGTGAAACGAAAAATTCAATATATTAATAATATTTAAAAAGAAATTATGAAAAATATTTTTGAGGTGTCAAAACTCGGACCTGAACGGGAATTTAAATTACCTGAAATGACCTGAAAATCTCCGGTCTGATTTATTCAAGTTCAAACTGTTTTAGTTATCAATCAATCTCCTTGAAATTTGAATTTTGTAATAGAAAAGGTATAATATTTTATTGAAATGATAAAGAATTTTATAAAAAAATATTTGTTTAATTCCAAAAATCGGACTAACGGGGAAATAAAAAGACCTGAATGGACCTGAAAAATACGGATAGATGTATTTGAACTGACAGAACTTTTTATTTTTCAATTGATTTTATTCTTTATTAAATTATATTAAAGAGAAAGACTGATTTTATGTATACAGGATTTTTTTAAAATAATAAATACCATGTTCATGTTGAAACCTTCTCCATCAAGTGAATTCCACTTATCAAGAGTATGTGGAATAAAACTGTTCTTATAGGCTGTGGTCCGACACTGAGGAGTTTTAAATTCCCTTTTATTTCTCAGACCATACTGGACATTAGTGTTTGCATACGATAAGACATCAGCAGCAATGTAATTAGGAATATCTCCAGAAATAGTTTTATGAAGAAACAATAATTTATTTTTCTGACGTCTATTCTGGAGGGAATCCCACCCTAATTCCTTGTATAGTTTCCATCTAGGAGTTCCCTTTCGAAGCCCAGTTACAATTCTAGCAGCAGCTAGTTGTGCAGACTCAATTAGATCTGATTCTTCTTTTGTGCAGTTATCCCAAATTATGTTCCCATATTCCAAAATAGGCCTTATAAATGCAATATAAAGTCTTTCCAGAGACTGTCTATCAATCTTATGTTTTAAATATCTCATAATATTAAGACGTCTACAAGCTTTTGAATAAATATCCTGTATGTGACTTGCCCATCTGGCATTAGATGATAGGGTTATATCAAGATGTTTATGTTCTGAGATATTTTCTAGAGGTGCATTATTCATGCATAATGATGTGACATCAATATTACTTTAAAATATTATAAGTTTTACAGAATTCAAAAGAAAACTGAATGAGGACATAAGTCCTTGTCCAGTTTTCTTTTCCACTGGTTCACGAAAAGTTAATATAATCCACTGCCAATTAAGAAATGAGGCTAGTGATCTAAAACATCATCTCTTCTGTGATCATTTGTCAGACGACTCTGTATGTGCCTGTGGAGACCCGATAGAAGATAATTTTCATTTCTTTTATGTTTGTCCATTTTACATTTATCAGAGATATGAGCTCTTTCGAAAACTAAGGAACTTTGATAATGTCAATCTTGATGTCCTACTACAGGGTTGCTCAGACTTAAATATTGATGAAAACACAGAGATATTTACTTATGTCCAACAATATATTCATGAAACTGGAAGATTTTTTATAATATTTCATGTGATAATATAACTGTTTAGAAATCAGCCTATAACCACAGTGTACCACTCTTTAGTCTTAGTTAAAGACAAACCTAACCTCTAACACAAAAAACAACCAATTGTGTTTAGCATCCTTTTGCAAATAAATTTATAAATATTTTATTTCATATTTTGTATTAGTAATTATATTTAAAAAAAAAAAAAACCAAGAAATTAATAGTCTTGTAATAAGATGGTATACTAAATTACTTATGTATTGCAAAATAAGGGCCAATAATTCTTGTTATTCATATAAATAGAACAACTTTGTTGCAGTGAGTTTGTGAATTTGATGAAAAATATCACTTAAACGATCTATTTGATTCCTTACCAACACTTATTAATGTGGTATAAAATTCGACACCACTTTCAGTAGATCCTGCAATGACCTTGTTCACATAGTTATTATTTATATATGTATACCCAATAAAATATTTCAAGAATTAAGTGGGGGGATTGCCTCCCCTGACTCACTGCAACAACGTATGATCTATGAATTTATCAGAAAATTATATTCTATCATGTTATTCAATCCATCTTGTATGGGAAAGGATTTGTATAGACACTGCCTTTTGTCCAATCCCTTTGTTTAAATGTACATTTGTCATGATTTGATATTTGAACAATAAAATATTTTGAATTGAATTGAATGTTGAAACCTGGACCTAAAGGGAAAACAGGATGGTCCGTGGAAAATTATTCAAACTAATTAACTTGTTTAAATTGTATTTATATAAACTTCTATAAAAACAGGTTTTAAGTAATAGTTATACACCGAGGGATAGGTGTGTCTGGATAAGAAACCCCGTCGGCCGGAGGCCGGAGGGGTTTCTTATCCAGACACGCCGTATCCCGAGGTGTATAACTAACTTACACCCATTCTAAACCCTATATTTGTTAACATTGATTATTAAATGAAAAAAAAAAAACTAAAGCATATTTATTGACAATATCAAACCATGATTTATAAGAATATTTGTTTTATTACATGAAACCCCACTAGTAACCTTTCTTTGGTTATCTTCGTTCAAACTTTGCCGACAAGTGAGTATATTTTACAAATGTCAAAGTTGCTGTTTTGTATATTCCCGTTAAATCCATGTGCTAATATGGATCAGCAGGTCAAGGTCGACTGTTTCGTGTATTCTTATTACAAACAAAAAATACATCATGCTCCTGATATACAGTTGTCAATATGGACGGGTATAAGACGGACGACATTTTGTGGCAAGCGTTGGATTTGGTGGAAGAGACTAAAGATAAAGGCAATATTATAACCCAAAGTACTTACCGGAATCAGTTTAATAAAGGTAATCATAACTGTATTTTATATCTTACGATTTTATCAAAAACAAAAGCCCCCCCCCCCTTCTCGAGAATAAACAAACATTCATATTCGAGCATACTAAGGGATAGGTGTGTCTGCATTAGAAACCCGACTACCAGACACGCTCAACATACAATATTTAATATTGAGGAACTCCCTTTTTTGGGGGGCAATCAGGGGCTGATCCAGTTGGGGGTTCCCAACTCAAGAGAAAAAGGGGAGGGGGGTCCAACCCGTGGAACGCCCACCCCAGATCGGCCACTGGGTAAACGGGGGGGGGGGGGTCCGGGAATAAGAATCCCCATTTTTTTTAAAGATCAATGCTTTAGAATAGAGACATATGACTGGGATAAAAAAAAATGCCTTCAAACAAAAGAGAATTTAAAGGATTATTTTTGTATTCCATATAGATGCTTATTGGAATTTCCTAATTTCTTATGTTCATGCTATTTAAAAAATAATCAATTTCTTTTGTTACGAATAACAATAGACTTTGTTTGCGGGATGTAGAAGCAGGGGTTTCCAGAAACCCCGCTCGTCACACCCTGTGGTCAAAATCCATTGTTATTCGTAATAATAGATCTATTCAATTTACACTTGTTTCAGAAATAGAAACTATGAAGTATAACAATAGAACTGGGGTGTAAACTGTTATATTTACATATTGCATGTAATCTAAAGACGTGTGTTCGTCGATTGGAATGTATTAATGAGGGGCCTGATGGGTTATTTTCGTTCTTCGTAATCGGCGCATTTTCGCTATCGTGATCCGTTTTTCTACATATTTTTTTTTTTTATATTTTCGTGATCCGTGATCATGGAAATTTATTTTCTGTGAATCGTGATTGACAAAAAAATCAACTCGTGAATCGTGATGAGACCCCCCATCAGGCCCCTCATTTATTACACGAGGCGTGTGCCGGCTGTAATTCACACCTTGTAGTAGGTGATAATTGGATCAATGGTCTAAATAAACCGCCATGTCCTTATTTATTAATCTTTTTTAATTGAATTATCATTTAATCTTGATACACAACCTAAACATTGCTCAGTTAAGTTGAGGGCCTCAGGGAAGATTAGTTTATTGCAACTAACTGAGTTTACGTACCCTCTTTAAATAAAGAATTTATTATTATTATTATTAGTTACAAATTTTACTATGTTACCAATTTTACTGTAAACTTTTACAACTGCTAATTTTTAGTTAATTCATTAAAATTAAATATTTTTATCGAAAGTTTCTTTTGGCTCTTCTTGAATGAAAATGCATGTGTTTTATAATCTACGTTCAGGTCTTTAGTGTAACCCTGATTCTCTTAATGTTCAGTGCTTTATTTATAAGTAAATACAGAGTAAAAAATGCAATTTTATATTCGCCAATATATAATATCTGATTGAAAACAACATAATTTTTTGATAAAAAGCTTGTTTGTTTGCAAATTTTGATTAATCTTTACATGACTATGTTCCAGAAATTAATCATATCTGTACCGAATGTGATTTTATAGTAAATCGGTAAAACGTTGTTCTGATATCGATATATCGCTCTAAGTTATGGCTGAAGCTGGAGACAAAATACCAACCCTTTCGGAGTTGTACCAAGATTTATGGACAACGTATATCTTCACAGAAAATACAAATGATCCAACTTCATCTCAGGACTATCAAGTACATATATTAATTTACAAACAAAGTCCAGAGGGGCTTTTGAATATACATTTTTATTGTACGTACTGTCGTACAGTCTACAGATAAGATAAGATATATACATTCATAAGATAAATTTTATTGACCAATTTTGGGCCCCGAGGGGCATAATATTATATTAAAGAAAGAAAATCCAATAAATGACAGAATACACATCAAATTACAGACAAAAATATACAATATATATATACCATGTATACTGCATATACATTTTAAGATGTTGCAACTTGCAGCTGGGGAGAATATACCAAAATGGAATATATTGCAATTATGTAAATAAATCATGTGCATAATTATTTATGTTTATTATTAAGACGAGACAATTGTTTTGCTCTTTTTTCAAAGCTCTTTACCAGAAAATTACCTAATTTGTTTAAAATGTGTCTATCTTCATGATCTTCGTTTGTCATTAACCACAGAATTTTTTCTTTTGTAGTAAGTCCACAAAAATTCTTATTAGACATAATAATTTTATTGAAAAATAATTGTCTATCAATGTTATATTGAGGACATTCAATCAAAAAATGGGGTTCATCTTCAACACAGTTATAATGACATAATTGACAATAGATATAAGAAGATGTGGTATGAGTGCCAATGAGACAACTCTCCATCCAAGGCAAAATTTATAAAAGTACACCATTATAGGTCAAAGTACAGTCTTCAACAAGGAGCCTTGGCTCACACCGAACAGCAAGCTATAAAGGGCCCCAAAAATTACTAGTGTAAAACCATTCAAACGGGAAAACCAACGGTCTAATCTATACAAAAAATGAGAAACGAGAAACACTTATGAACCACATCAACAAACGATAACTACTGAACATCAGATTCCTGACTTAGGACAGGTGCAAACAATTGCAGCGGGTTTAAACTTTTTAATGGTACCAAACATTCACCCTTATCTGAAACAATGGTGTAACATCACAACATAGAAAGACACACTATAAAATATCAATTGAAATGGCTCAACTCAATCAAAAGACATATTAACACCAGTGAACATACACTGAACAAATAAATTTGATCTATGATACAATGTAAATACAAAATAAATAAACTAAGGGAAGAATAATTACTGTAACATGTTATACCGCTGTGAAATGTTAAACAATTTAAGAAAAACAATATGCTTGTACAAAAATATCAGCCATTTGCAATTACTTTAAACACTGGTAAATGAAAATAATTTTGTTGTTAGATATACGTGTACAGTTCAAATAGAGAAAGGAAATATTTTTACAAAATAAATAATTTTGATGTTCATAGTACGAAGAAGTGAAAATTTATAGTAATACCAAACACTTATCAAAGCTGGTATATAGACCAGATATAACCCTGAATAACATTAAATAACAAGTTCTCTTATAACTCTTACCATTCTGGGGCCGTTATATTATGGCCTGTACCCAAAATATGTTTTTTTTTTGGCTCCTATTGCAATGGATCTCTATATATTTTCAGAGGTCAGATGAATCATATTCTTTTTCGAAATTCATGCATGTTCCCTGAACCTTAGGCTACTCATTGTCATGTTCCTCAGGTTTAAGGTGCAGTTTGAGCCCAAATAAAACTTTAGAATTGAAATTGCGCTTCAGGAAGTATGGGCTTTCCTTCTGTGTCTGGTCCATGCAGTACAGTACTAGTGGTCTAGAACTTCCAAAAACCTTGTAAACTGACAGGAATATAACTGATGAAAGTATTTATTATTTAAATAGGCTTTGGGAATGAATACTTCTAGTTGCAGGTCCAGGTGAAGCCAAAAATCAGAAAAATGCAGATGTTTGGTTGAAATGGTATTCTTTAGACTGCCATACCCATGATACCCAGATCTGTTTCACTCAGACCTAAGCATTTTTGTGGGTCATGTGTTCATTTGGGTTTGCACTCTGTCTGTCTGTCTGTCTGTCTGTCTGTCTGTCTGTCTGTCTGTCTGTCTTGCAAATCAGTTTTCGACACTGATGATTTTTTGCAGTTATGGTCCTTGGACTTAAAAAAATTCACTGAAATAATCAGTTTTCCACACTTTTTTTGGTCATGCTTGAAGGTTTTGATTTTATAATTTGATATAGTTTTATCATGACAAGTTACAGATCAAGTTCAAATTTTGTTACGGTCTGATGATTTTGTGCAGAGTTGTGGTCCTTGGACTTAGAACATTCACTCATATAATCAGTTTTCCGCACTTTTTTTCGTCATGCATAAAGATATTGATTTGATAATTTGTATATAGTTTTATCATGACAAGTTACAGATCGAGTTCGATTTTGTTCTGGCCTGATGATTTTTATACGACCGCAAACAATTTTTGCGGTCGTATATTGGTATGACGTTGGCGTCGTCGTCGTCCGAAGACACATTGGTTTTCGCACTCTAACTTTAGTTTAAGTGAATGGATCTCTATGAAATTTTACCATAAGGTTCAATACCACAAAAGGAAGGTTGGGATTGATTTTGGTGGTTATGGTACCAACAGTTAAGGAATTAGGGGCCAAAAAGGGGCCAAAAATAAGCATTTTTGTAACTTCCAGACATTACTTGTGTGTTAGTGTATGGATCTCTCTGACATTGTTCCACAAGGTTCCATATCACACAGGGAATGCTGGGATTGATTTTGGGGGTAATTGCCTCAAAATATTAGGAATTAGGGGCCAAAAAAGGGGCAAAAAACAAGCATTTTTCTAGTTTCATGACAATAACTTGTGTGTAAGTGTATGGATCTTTCTGAAATTGTACTACAAGGCTCCATATCACAAAGGGAAAGCTCGAATTGAGTTTGGGGGTAATTGCCCAAAACGTTTAGGAATAAGGGGCCAAAAAGGGGCCAAAAATAAGCATTTTTCTAGTTTCCAGACAATAACTTGTGTTCAAGTGTATGGATCTCTCTGAAATTGTACTGCAAGGTACCATACCACAAAGGGAAGTCTGGGATTGAGTTTTGGGGTGATGAATCATAAGGGGGTTCAAAAAATTGGGGGGGGGGGATTTTTTTTTTTTTTTCCTTTTTTTCTTTTTTTCCTTTTTTTTTTCTTTTAAAATTTTCCATTTTAAGTTGGTTATTTCTCTGTTTTATATTTAAAAGCAAATAATAATGATATGGTAGGAGATACACACCAAACAGGATGTGTAAATTATTATATAATAAGTATTGTGCAATAGCAAGAAATTTTCAATTGCACAGTATTGCACAATAGCAAGAAATCTTCAATTGCACAGTATTGCGCAATAGCAAGAAATCTTCAATTGCACAGTATTGTGCAATAGCAAGAAATATCCAATAGCACAATATTGCGCAATAGCAAGAAATTGTCAATTGTACAGTATTGCCCAATTGCAAGAAATATTCAATTGCACAGTATTGTGCAAAAGAAGATACTTCGTATAAGTTGCTTATTTCTTGACCAATTTCAATGGGGTTTTATTCTTGAATTCTTGGGGTTCTTAAATATGCTGATTCTAACCGTGTATTAAGTTTTTGGATTTTGGGCCCCGTTTTTAAATTGGTCCACATTGAGGTCCAAAGGGTCCAAAATTAAACTTTGTTTGATTTCATCAAAAATTGAATTATTGGGGTTCTTTGATATGCCGAATCTAACTGTGTATTTAGATTCTTAATTTTTGGTTCCGTTTTCAAATTGGTCTACATTAAGGTCCAAAGGGTCCAAAATTAAACTTAGTTTGATTTTAACAAAAATTGAATTCTTAGGGTTCTTTGATATGCTGAATCTAAACATGTATTTAGATTTTTGATTATGGGCCCAGTTTTCAAGTTGGTCCAAATCGGGGTCCTAAATTAAACTTTGTTTGATTTCAACAAAAATTGAATATATGGGGTTCTTTGATATGCTGAATCTAACCATGTATTTAGATTTTTGATTTTCGGGCCCCATTATCAACTTTGTCCACATTGAGGTCAAAAGGGTCCAAAATTAAACTTTGTTTGATTTCATCAAAAATTGAATTCTTGGGGTTCTTTGATATGCTGAATCTAACCATGTATTTAGATTTTGGATATTGGACCATAATAGGTGTATGTCCAATTTAAAATTTTTAAGTTCTTAGACCACATTCATTCTGTGTCAGTAACCTATGCTGTGTCAAATATTTAATCACAATCCAAATTCAGAGCTGTATCAAGCTTGAATGTTGTGTCCATACTCAGTGTTCTCCCCAGGAATTTTGGATAGCATCACATTTGGCGTAAAAAAAAAATTGTATTTATTTTTCAATGTCATTTGTTGCGTCGCGGCGATGCTCTCTTTCTTTTAAGTTATGTTGATTTTTTTCAATTCATAACTGAGAATACAATTAAAGTATAACTGTTCTTTTAGTTTATTTCTTTAATATTCATTTATAGTTACAGAATTATATTTTTCTTGTTAGAAACTACCAACTAAAAATCTAGTACAAAAGAGAACTTCTTTTATATCAAAAAGGAAAAGAAAGTATCATATAGTAATACCATTTCAATTAAAAACTATTCTGTTTATCATGTTTATGAAATTCATTATTTCCTGGGACTCAATGTATCAGTCCCAGTTGTTTCAAACAGATATATGTTTTTAACATTGTTAAACTACTTTAATCAGTAAATTAATTGAAACAATGCGTTTACATAGAAATAAATATATTTTGCAAGGAGATCTAACAAATAGTCTGTAAATTCTTGTGGAATGAGTAACTTTCCCTATTGGGATCATTATAATTCTGTCAGCTGTGCCGTTTCTGCGTCTGTAGTTATTACCGTAAAAATGCGGATTTTGATCATAGCTGGTCCGCTTCCGATCCGTAATTAGTACAAATATATCAATGGCGGTCGAAGAAAAATTTACGAAAATAAACAATGTTTGAGAAGCGAATTGGATGACTATATCACGATTTTACTGTAATAAATAGATGAAACATTACCTAAAGGCAATTTTCATCACGTTCTAATGAAGTATAGAACTTATTTAATATTT